ATGTTGTGTGAGTGATGTTGTGTGAGAGATGTTGTGTGTGAGATGTTGTGTGAGTGTTGTGTGAGTAATTGTTGTGTGAGTGATTGTGAGTGATGTTGTGTGAGAGATGTTGTGGGTGAGATGTTTGGAGGAGGAAGGAGGAAGGTGGAGGAGGAGGAGGAGCGAGGAGTTGCAGCAAAAAAACAAGAACCCCACACGGCAATGTGGGGAAAAAGAAGAAGTAATCAAACAGAAAAATTGTCCAAAAAAGAAGACACAAAAGCATGAAACGAGAAAAGTTGATCTTTTTGTCCAAAACAAAAAGCCGACAGTTTTTGTCTGGTTTTAAAACAATGCTGACCAGTCCCGTTTGCTATCCGCTGACACTGCGGCGGTTCTAATGGCATCCAACCTACTAGCGATGCCCTTTGCTCCTAGTAGCGTCCTTTGCTCCTAGTAGTAAGGCCAGGAGCCCGTAGTAGCGTCCTTGCTACTAGAAGCGATGCACTTTGCTACTAGAAGCCTTTTGGGTTCCCCGCCAGCAGGTGCGACTATTCACCTGCGCGGGGAAGAGCACCGTGGTGCCGCACCTGACAGGTCTAAACTCTCGACAGGTACTCCGTGAGGAGGCGCGGCTCATGCGGTTTATGTTTCGCGAGTACTTGTGAGTAGTGAAGGATTCTTGATTGAAAGACGCCAAGAGAGGTCCGGAAGAAAACAAATGGAAAGGGTGAAAGGAAAGAAGAAAGAACGCCAGAAAGAAGGTCCGATCTTGGTCTTAGAGCTGTTCTACTTACTAGCTTACTACACTAGTTTATTAATCTAGCTAGTAGCCGTGCAGAGGCCTATGGCAAGTCATGGAGCAGTCTGTGAGTCCAAGACCAACGTGGCCAAACGCGTTGCGAACGAAAAGGGAAGAAAAACTGGAAGTGGTTCCAAGCTGCTGCAAAGTAAAAGAGTGTTTTTACCAGAACAATAGAGCATTCGTGAACGTGCAAATAGGGGTTTCCCAACCTAGGTCCTTTCGGAAGCCAACAGCAGCAAGGTGGAGTCAAGCGGCAACTGTAGGAAGGTATAAGTAATAAAATACCAATAATAAGCAATTCCAAAAAATTGCCGAATCTTCTTCAGACTTTAGACCTTCAAACCTTTCTCTTATCCCTTCGTTCTTCCTTCTTTTCAGGCTTCAAGAATTCTTCTTGAGACCTGATCCTGCATTGGCTTTGAAAAATCTTGACTACTGATTTCTGCCAACAAAACTAGCGGGAACACCCTCAGGGTGGCCAGGCCTTTGTGCCTATCTGAAGGGCCTATCATATCTGCTTCACCAACTCCCAAAAAACCCAGCAACGCCACTGTCTGCCTGCACACTTGCTTGGACACTGGACTATTCAAGGCGCTTCCCTGCAGCTTCAGCGCGAGGTCCACTTCATGTTGACATTCGAACGATTCGAGAACTCGTCGAGAACGCGTTTCCATTCTATCGCGTCTCGGAAATGCCACCGCGGTTTCTTCCTGTCAAGCTGGTGCTGAGGTCATCTAGCTTGCGTGTTGCGTTTTGTTTCTTACATAAGGACAACGGTCCCTTTTGTTGATGCCAAAATGAAAATAAAGTTTCGACGTTTCGGAACGCCTTTTTCCCTTGAGCCAAAACACGTCAAGAGTCACGTGTCTGCAGTACCTATAGCGGAGTATATATGGGCTGTACATACAAACACTCCTCCTCTTGCAAAGCACTGTACTGCTGCGCAAGCTTAAAGTAAAACATGTGAAACTCTTCGCTGCTTAGCCACTTTCAGTTGTGGTAGTGGAGCTTGGCCAGGGACCTTACTCCAAAACATCCAACTGTCCTTTGCTTCGTTTGCTGAGGAATGCATATTGCAGGTCCTCCATGGTTTTGCGAAGCTGCACCCCAGGAACCGACTTGGTCAAAACATCGGCTTTGTTCTTGACACCTGGAACGTGGTGCACTTTCAAGTGGCCTTCGGCGACCCTCTCTTGCAACCATAGGTAGCGAGTCTGGATGTGTCTGGCTTTACCCAAACCCACTCTGTTCACAGTTCCTTTGGCTGCGTTGGAATCGCCCTCGATGGTGACTCCCAAATCCAAACCAAGGTCTGCGCATAGGCCTTGGAGGCCAAGCCCACAGATCCTCCCTTCACAAGTGCGTAGTACTCACTCTCACCTGTGGAAAGGGCTACAGTGGATTGGATGTTACTGCTGTGTTTCAACACGCGCATGCCGTACATAGCAACCATGCCAGTCGTGCTTTTGCGCGTCACAGCGTCTCCACCGTGGTCAGCATCAACCTGCACCCTCAGCCTTGAGGGTGTCTGTTGTGAGCCAAAACATTGCCGAACATCAGGGTATTTCTTCAAGTACCTGATGAGACGTTTCAAGTCGGCAAGTTTGGCTTCTGTTGGTGATACCATACCTCGAGCAAGGTTCTTGACTGCGTGTCCAATATCGAGTCGATCTTGGGACAAATACGCAGCACGCATCGTTGCTGAACGATACCTTGATGCCTCGCTCTTATCAAGCAGCGGACTGCGGCTTTCCAGCATCTGCTGATCTGCCGACTTCTTGACATCTGGTGATTCTACACCATTTGCCTTTTCCAGACCAAATGCCTGGATCAAAAGATCAACATGTCTCCGATCGGCTTCGATCACAATCGATCCTTTGCCGTTCTTCTTCTCAACTCGGATTAACCGATTCAGAAAATGAGCTTCTGTTCGGTCTCCATCCTCGTCTCCAAGAATTCCGAGACATTTCAGCTCATAGGCATCTTTGAGGACTTGGCTGAGCTTCTCCAAGCGTTGGGCGTCTCCTAGTGCTAGGAAGTCATCTCCATGCACCATTACTCTGACATCCCAAGCTTCTTGGTAGAAGACTGACGCATTTGACAACCCTCTGCGGAGGCCAGCCTTCTGCAGAGTCTCTGTGTAGTGCGTCTGCCAGATGTTTGGAGCGTCCTGTGTTCCATACATCGACTTCACGAGAAGTCCACAGGTTTGTCCATCTTTGCTGGCTTCGTCCTCAGGCGGCAGCTCTATGTAGATCTTTCTCTTTGGGGTTCCATAAAAGTGTGCTCGTGAGATGTCCCACAAGCCCAGCTTCAGCGGCTGGTTGTGGCAGGACTTTCTCTTTGTTGCCCACAACGAGCACAGCAGTCTCATCGCCTCTAATGGGGGCGTGCTGCTGAAAAGCAAGTTGGCTGGCAATTGTTCTTCTTTGGTCTTTCTTGCCTTTATCTCACGCACAACTAATCGGCTCCTATAGTTCGGGTTTGTTGGATCTCCCTTGTTGGTGTCCAACCATCTGACTGGAATCGGGGGCTTCCCCGTTTCCTCAAAACATTCGGCTCTCGGCCGGGTCACATAAACACCATGCTTTTCTTTCAAATAATCCATCTCAAGGCGTCTTGCTTCTTTTACTTTCTCGGCTGGCAAAATGCCACCGTTCACATCATCCATGTATACCTCTTCAAACTCTGGGTCCATCAGAGGCATCTCTGGAACTGGGCCTGCTGCAAACAGATCAAAGGTATTCAACTCACCTTTCTCTGCCAGCGTGTCACGCAGGCTCCTTAGTACTGCCTCACAAGCTGCGGTGGGTATACCGCTGCCTGCCTAGCAATGCCTCCGATCAGATGGATGTGTCGGTGCCATGGTCCTTTGCCCGATTCATTCGAGCAGACTCCTTGCAAGACTCTGGCCAACCCTTCATCGTTGGTCATCCAACCGGTCTCCTTTCTCACATAGCCGGTGCCTTGGAGTCCTCTTCGGTCAGTGGCCATCATTTGCCACCTGCGCATTGGACCCTTTACTACGAACACTCCATCTTCTTTTGCTAAGGCCGCAACTTTCTCATCCTTCCAACTAGTTGCGGACCAAGGTGCCTCATGGAGGAATTTTCTCCCTGAGCGATGCTGCTTGACATACAGCTCTACGCTCGTATGAAGATGGTGGACGGCTTCGTCCATTTTCTTCCTCCGGACATCCGGTGCCATGCTTCTCCAGTTGAGGTTCTGGAGCTGCGAGAACATATGGCACGGAGGCGAACCAGTCAAAAGAGCCGGTTCGTCCTTCTCAAGGATGTCGTGCACCTCTTGAACATCTTCGGACTTGTTCAAGTCCCAGTATGTTCCATCGCTTTTCATTTCATTCAAGTCGACCGCAAAACCCGGTCGCAACTTGTACCGCTCTGCAAGTGCGGTGAACCTCTTGGGCGAGTAGATTTCCATGACATCTACTGCTGACATCTGCATGCTCAAATGCGCGATGTCTCCGATCTCTTGCTCAGAGATCTCGATGCCATTCGCCTCATAGGTTCCTTCCCTGAGCATCGGATATTGATCCTAATCAATAAACCGAAAAAATATCAATATTTTTGATTTGCCAAAAATATTGAAAATCATATTGATTTTGATATTGATTCCGGTATTGATTTCTGGGCAGCTTCGAAAAAGCAAATTTGATCAATTTTGATCAAATTTGATCAAATTTGGCTGGTTTTTGATCAAATTTGATCAAATTTGGCTGGTTTTTGATCAAATTTGATCAAATTTGATCAAGCTGACCATGTTGCTGTTTATTGAATTTCCTATTGATTTTTGCTTGGCTTTGAGGAAGAATTTCTTTTGAAAAAGCACGCGCCCAAATCAATAGAAATTGTTGATTTTTTTCAAGAATATTGATTAGGATCAATATCTGATGCCCAGGGTTGAATGATCTTCTTTAGATGCTGCTTTGCGATCTCCTTCTCTTTTACCAAGCTTGCTGCATCTGGCCTCCACCCTGCTGGTGGTGTTTCTGGAACGTACGAAAACGTCTCAGTTTTCTTTGGACTCTCTTCCACCCTGGGATCAAGGTCTTCTACGGCAGTCTCTGCCGTCCTTTTTGTTCCTTGGGCTGGATTCCTTTGCCCCAGGTGGATCTATCCTAAGTTCTCCTGTTCTCTTCTTGGGCTCTGTTGCTACCTTGGCTTTTGCCACTGGTTTCTTCTCTATCTCGGCTGCTTGCCTCTTCATCTCATATCTCTCTTTCGGGTCATCGGGATAGGTCTTCTCACCCTCTGCCGCTGTTGGCGGCGGGCTTCCCGACCCTGCGCTCTTTGCTTCTTCTTTCTTCTCTGGTTCTCCGGCCGCGTCTTCGGCCGTGATGTCGGTGTCCTTGTCGGCCACGACTTTTGGCTTCACAGTGTCAAGCTGTTGCCGTTCTTTCCTCTTCTTCGCATGGGCTTCAAGTCTTGCTTGCCCTGCTTCATCCTTTTCCATTGCTTCAGTGATCCTTGCTCTGCACGCCTCTGTGTGCGGCAAGGTCGTCCTCTTATCTTCCAAGATGCACCTGCATCCTGGGCAGCCTTCTGTGGCTCCATGCTTGTGCACATCTTCTCTCCTGATGTACACTCGCCTCTGCTGTGGTGGTGCCACTCGTTCCTCCTTGGGAGGTGGTACCACAAGGCGCTCTTCGAGCATCAGCTGTTCACCGGCAGGCCTTGCCGCGGAGTGCTCCCACGGTAAGCCCCGCAAAAGGTCCCAATCACTTGGGTCCCAGCGGTCGGCTGAACTCAGCCGCCGGATTCCTGTGCCTCTGCGCATGCCATCGGCCGTCATCACCAAAATGGATCCTGTTCGGCCGTGGTGCCCTACATAGCGTCCTTCTTTCAGGATGCGAATTCCCTCGCCTACTTCTCTAAAGTATAGGCGTTCGCCAAAAGCTATGGCGGGCTTCCGCCATTGCTTTCCACATCTTCTGGCCTCAGGCGTTCTGCCATCTTGGCCCTTCTTGTACCTGCTCAGTAGGTCTCCCGCCTGCCTTGGCAGCCACGCCAATGCAGGGTCATCATCTTTGAGCTCTTTGCCGAGCTTCTCTTCCAACGCGCTGCGGAGAACTCGTACTTGACGCTTGATCTCCTTGCAGGCGTTCTCTGCCAGACCATTCGCTTGATGGTCTCCTACTGGCGACTCTTCCGAAACCCAGTCTATGCCGGTTTCTTTCGCCGCTGCCTCTTTCAAGGCTACCACGGATGGCTCACCATCCGATTTGAGAACCACCTTGCGGTGTCCCAAGTTCTTCAAGAAGTTCGCCGCGAACTTCACTGCATACGGCGTCGCTCCCTTCGAGTCCACGAAGGTCGCCGCTAAGGACTGTGTCCTCTCATCCTTCACTACGAGGATCGGCTTCACTCGCTCGTCCTCCACACCGCCCCGTGACATGAACGTGTAGTCCATTGCCACTGTGGGCGCAAGGCTCTTGGCCTTCTGTTCCTCGGACCTTGTCCGATGCGGCTGTCCCACAGCCCGTCCAGCAATGCAATGCCGGCACCAACTTCGATACTGCACATGGCCTGCCGCCTCGTGCTCTTCGATCTCAGCCGGAGTTGGGTCCTCCGGTGCTCTTATCTGGATGGGTTTCTCAACCTCATCAACTAATTCCAACTCATCATCCTCTTCTCGCCCCTCTGGACCAGGTCGGCCTGAATCCATAGAGGCATCTCCTCTTTCTCCTGTGGCGTTCAACTCCGCGATGCCACAGCATTCCTTGGCCGGTTTATACCCTGGCTTTCTCAAGTAGAAATTGTACACTCCCTGTTCCTGATATACAGGGATCCAGCTCCGCTGCTCTGCAGCGTTCGCTTTCTCCAGGATCGCCTGGACAGCCTTTCCAACTTTGGACCCTTGCGGAATCAACCTTCCGCCATTCGCATCAAGAACTGCAATCCTTCCAAAGCCTAAGCATTTGGATGCTGAAATCAATGGCTTGTGAACATCGGCCATTGACCCTTTCACTCGGCATTTGTTGCCACTCTCGTCGAACCCCTCAAAGGTTCCAATGCCCTGACTGGGCACCAACTCTCCTGATGCAGTCTTGAAAACAACTCCGTTGCCCTCGCTGACAACCACTCGGTCTTCCCAGCCATTCGGGATGGCTGTCTGGGCTGCTCCAGTGTCCAGGTTAAACTTCATCCATTCTTCGGCGGATGCAGCATCCGCTATTCCAACTCCACTCAAGTCTGCCATGAGCATTCCGACATCTGCTTCCGGAGCTGGCTCATTGCCATCATCCGGATCGTCCATCTCTTCCATACTTCCTGCGGCTTTGCCTTTGCCGCCTTTTCCACCTTTGCCTTTATTGCCTTTGCCACCTTTTCCACTCGTGTTTCCTTTGCCTGAACCTGACCACTTATCGCCTTTTCCATCCGGCCGTTTCTTGCTCCAGCAATCGGCCGCTCGGCGTCCTTTCTTACCGCAATTGTAGCAGGTGATATCTTGAGCCGTACTTGAGCCTTTACTTGAACCCTTGCTTGAGCCTTTCTTTCCATCTCCTTTGACCTGTTTACCTTTTCCTTTACCTTTTCCTTTGACCAGGCTTGCGATCCATTGTCCGATCGAATCGACGTCCATGGGTTGAGGTCCTTGATAACTCGAACTTGATGAACCTGGTTTTGGAACAGATGATTTCGATGTGAGGGATGATTCGATGACAAGTTCAATCTCCTGTTTGATCAATGAATAGGTTGTCAATCTACTCTTGTTCAACAAAAGATGTTTCTCCAAATCTGGGGGTACCAGCATCTCCAATGAAGCGGACTTGACGTCGTCCGATAGAGTCTCCCTTATTCCTGCGGCACTCCTCCGGGACTCGTACCGCCTGATGAGCTCTTCGAGCTGTTCGATTGCTGGCCTCACCGCGGCCCACGTCTTGACTCGTTCAGGTTGGAGAATTGCTCGAAGGATATTGCGTTTTCGTCCCGAGGTTCGGGGATCCCAACGGCGGTGAACTCGCCGATACGCTTCAAATCCATTTGAAGCTCCTACCATCAAATCTTCTGTTTCACCTGAGGTCAGGGTCAGGAGGACGCGATGGATTTGATCCGCCTTATCCTCAAGATCTTCAATGGCTGCTATGGTGCCAGCCCCAAACGCGGATTCCACAGCGCTAATTTCAATCGCGTCTTCCTGTTCCAGAATGTACTCTAGGATTTCAATGAACTCTCTCCCAAAGGTAGTTATGAACAGGTTGTCGATGCTCCTGGCCCATTTTCGGAAATCCCCTTCAACATTCCCAAAACTCTCAGGGCGGCCCAAGCCTTTGGTGTCCATAAGGATTTGGGACTTTCGCCTATCTTCCTTCTTCTCAAGGCTCTTAGCCAGTTCTCCTACGGCTGAAGCCAACATTGATACCCCACCTTGAGACTCCCTCAACACTTGGTTCTCTTGCTCCAACCTCGTTTGGTTCTGTTGGAGTTGCAATACCATATCAGTCAGCTGTTGGATCTGTTGTTCCATGGCTCCCTACTCTCAACCCTGCTGGCGCTGCTCTCGCACCTTTTCAGCTACGGACGATTCGTCCGATCTCCGGCCGGTCCAAGGGCTTTCACCCTTGGGACAGGTCGGAGGCTGACCCTGGGCTCTCAGGGGCCTCTGATGCGGCCCGGGCTCCTGCGGAGGTTAACTCCACCGGATCGCGGCCGATCTGGCGAGCCGGTGGTGGCCTCTCCTTCAGTCTCACGGAAGTCTCTTCTTCCGATGGACTCTCCTCCTCCTCTTCTTTCTCTTCGGCTGTATCAGCCGCTTCGCTCGTCTTCGGAGCCTTTCGCTTTGCGCTCTCCTCGCGCTTCTCTTTATTGCGGATTCTTTGTTCTTTCCGCTCTAACCTGATCTCCTCCTTGGGGCGCTCTTTGCCAAACTCTTTGATCCTCTCCTGCAGTTCTTCTGTAATGACACCCTGCTTCTTTTGCAACCTCACCAAGTCCTTGAGCTTCCGATACTGAAGCGAAGTTTGGCTTCGATGTCGGAATCCGGACTGTGGTTCTGGATGCCAAGGTGCTTTGGGATCGATCTTGGCTGGGGTATACTTGGTTTGAGTACCACGAACTTCCCAACCCGTTGTGATCCCTTCTGCGGAGGTGACGAAATCGGCGATGGTTCGGCCAGATGATGACTGTGCGGCTGAACTAGCCGCTCCAGTCCCTGGCTCACCTGTCAGGTCTTGTTCAGACTCTTCTTCCTCTTCTGACCCTTCTGCTCCTTCTGTATTTTCCTTCTCCTCCTTTGTTTCTACGGTCTTCTCGACTGCTGAGGTTGTTTCTGCGGTCTTCTCAACCGCTGGAGCAATGTTTGCGGCTGAATCAGGCTCTTTCTTCTCCTCCTCTCTTTCTTTTCTCTCTCCTCCTACTCCGCTCGGGGCGGCAGGATCTGCCGCTCCCGAGGACCCCAGCTCCTCTTCTTCGGAGCTTTCTACTTTACTGTGTCTTTCCTCTTTTAGGCGCAAAACTCGGTCCCTTTCGCTTTCAACGGGCTCACGCGCTACCATGAAAATAAAGTTTCGACGTTTCGGAACGCCTTTTTCCCTTGAGCCAAAACACGTCAAGAGTCACGTGTCTGCAGTACCTATAGCGGAGTATATATGGGCTGTACATACAAACACAAAAGACAGTTAAACATATCAAACACACCAAGGTGACATGTGACAGCAAGGTGTTTGTGAAAACATGTGTTTCCTCACAACCTCGGATGGTTCACGCCTTGCTGGCTGGCCGGGAAACCAAATCTGGCACGAGAAAGAGACGTCCAAAGCATGCGCTCAACTGCCTCCCCATGCACTAGTGGAGCGTATAATCCATGTAAACCATGTCCTTTCATCGTGTTTTGGGTATATGTTTCCTTACTAGTAGCAACAAGAAGCTTCTAGTAACAAGTGCCTTACTAGTAGTAATAAGTGCCTTACTAGTAGTAACAAGAAGCTTCATGTCTTCTCGTCTAAAACCTTTCCACAGGATCTCTGACTCTCCAGGCCTCTATCTTGCTCCAAGTAGGTATTTGACAAGGCCCTGAAAAGGCTCCGCTTCAAAAAGGTTGACTTTCAGACGTGAATGACACTTGGAGTGCTCAGAATGGTGTTCAATGATTCAATTTCCAGAACATGAATTAATTACTGATTTATATATCATAACAGTGAATATAAAAGCGATGGCCTCCAACCTACAAGGGATGGCCTCCAACCTAAAAGCGATAATTTTCAGTGAACTTCCCTCAAGACCTTTGAGGAATCTGTTCAATCTGTTTGGCGCAACACCTTGGCCGAGGCAGAACGCGGCCAGTGTGGACCATCCCTGAGCCAAATCACAGATATACTCAAGACACAGATTTGTGTACTGAAAGTGTGTACTGGATGGCTATTATCTGTTTTGGGATCCTTGCCAACTTTGAATTCAAAAGGGCAGGCGGTTTCAACAATTCATGCAAAAACACTAGCTGTTTCTCGAGGAGCAGCGGATGCCAAGCCAAAACCAATGCTGGTAATTAGTGTCAGAAGAGGATTGTGTGCAATGCGAGTCATTGCATGAACTATGCATCATAGCAAGCCTCCAGCTCTCCCTTTTTCTGTAGGGAGGGCGGTGAAAACAGGTGAAAAGCCTAGAGCTGTTGTAGCTTCTTGTTACTCCTTATTACTAATAGCAAGAATGCTCCTAGTAGTAATGCCCTTTGTTACTAGTAGCGATGCCCTTGTTACTAGTAGCTTCTTGTTACTAGTAATGAAGTGAAAAGCCTAGAGTTGTTGCAAGTTAGATTTTCTGATCCTGTCACTGTGTACCTCCTTGGACGGTGTATTTCTTGTGCCAAAGGTACACTACCTTCAGCTTCCAATATTCAAGGTAGAATTTGGCTGAGAAGTGGGGATGTTGTTTCAAGAAAAGGACTCCTTAGTGAGTGGTGGTTGGGCCAAGAACATTCTGTGGGTGTGTCAGCTGAATGAGGGCAACATGATTCGATGCTGCATGACGACATGAGTTGTGACAAGATGAGATTCCAATTCTGTCCAACTGTCTCTAAATCCAACAGCTGCGGCTGTAACATGTGCAAGACAAGGTATAAGCTTGGATCCACAAGCCCATGTATGTTCCATTCTAAAGCGCACGTCCATGCAACACATGTGCCATTGTATAGCATCGTTTGCTCTTCTAGGTTAGGTGATAGGTGAAGGAAGAATGCTGAATGGACTACTCCAATGCCTCAGCCAATCAATGAGCATGCCTTGGGATCTATCTAGTGGGCCAAATAATCTTGATGAGGGACATCGAATTCGACTGCGGGCTTTTTTTAAATGATTGCATCTTGCCATGCTGGCTCTCATTCCACTTAGAGGAAAAGGAGCACCAAACACACAGGCATGATGATACAGCCTGTGCGAAAGTCAGTTTGAAAGAAAAACGCAAGTGTGCAAAGATCAAGGAACATAGCGGGCAATTCCTCAACTACCCTCATACGATGACACGGAAAGCCCTTCAAAGGCAAGAAATTGTTGCAAGTGTTCCAAACAATTGAGAAACCTCACGGGTGAAAAACAACCTGACTTGTTTCAGTGGAAGACTTTCAAAACAGACTCCGACCAGCTTGGAGTAGAACCCCTCGCCTAAGATCAACTGGCCAAGTGCCAAGGAGCGCCGCAAGTGAAAATCTCGAAAGGTCTGGACGCGAAAATACGACAGGACGCTAGTAGGGGCGCTCCTGGCCTTACTACTAGGAACAAGAAACTACTAGGAACAAAGGGCATCGTTACTAGGAGCAAGGACGCTACTGGTCATACGACATGTCTCGAAAGGACGTGAGGCATCAAGTCATATTATCGGGCCTGGACATAGACAATTCCTGGCAGAATATACCTGCCAATTGACTGCAAAAACTGTGAAGATGAGGCGAGGAATGCACTGATATTGACACGACGCTTCTAGGTTGGAGCCCATCACTAGTAGGTTCCTTCTGTTATTAGGTTGGAGGTCACGACATGATACATCAAGACACTGAGATTCCCACGAGACCATGGTGGATCCGGTGGCCCCAACGACTCCTAAGATCTTCCCCAGGTCCATGACCTCACTCCAAGAGACCGTGGCGCGCGAACTGGAAATATAGAAACTAAAGGACAGGTGTACAAAAGGAGAGTCAAAATATGCATTGTACATATAAGCATATATAGGCATATGTATATATATATACATACACATGTATATGCGGTTGGACCCTCCAACCACAATGACAGCATCCTCGCCCAAGAAACCTAATCTATATGGGGTGCCCACCAGGTCGCCTTCCCACGCTAGCATATCGTTTCCAAGTGCCCTCTGCCTGTGTTCTGCTTGGCCATGTGCCAAAGCATTGTTTCGCTTTGGTGTCACGCCCTCGCTCGAAGGTCCGGAGGTGTCGAAGACAGGTCAAGTTCACATTGCCTCTGTTTTCTTTTTCGATTGAGTCTGATTCAAAGCTTCGATCCATCGGGCGCTGAACTTGCGGTTTGGGTTCTCTTTCTAGGCACTGCTGTCATCGTAAATTCTGAATTTTCCCAACACTGATACTCTGCGCAAGAATGAGATGAGGCAATCATTTTGTCAAACAATCTGCCAGCATGATTGCCGTTGAGATCCATCGGCATTCCGTAGTGTCGGAATAGTTTCGGAAGACTGTTGCTTAATCAACGTCACCTCAATTATTCTCCACTCCTGGCAATTTGGGGTCGCCATCTTGTTCGCCAGGTCGTATAGGCTTGCGGGGCCGGTTTTAAGTAATTAGAGATCTGGATCCTTGATTCTCCACGTTGGTTATAACCAAGGGATGAAGACACGGCGTACGGCTCTGCAATTGAAGTGGGCCGAACAAGTCGGCGAAGGGTCTCTCCAAGTTCCTTTGCGCACACTGCGACTGCGACGAACAGTCCCTGCTGCGCCTTCATCAGAGACTCTGACGCAAAACTCGCGTCTCCAAAACTTGCAAAGGTCATGATGCATGGGAATAGGTTGCATGTTCCAAGTCTCTTTCCTTGCTCTCAATATTTTGTTGGCTTCTGCCAAGTCGCTTGACTTAGCTTCGGACCTTCGCCATCATGCCTGGCCGTGAAGGTGCTGCATAAGGGTTCCCCTTTAGCAACAAAACATGCGCTTTTCAGAGCTCGAGCAGCTCCTGGAATTCAAACACGAGATGAGTGGCTAGCTCCCTTGCGTCAGATCTTCCTCTCAAAAATGCTATTTTGACGTCGACCGGGTAAAGTCCAGCCTGTTCTGGAGAGCTGACTGTTTGTGTGATATCATCATCTCAACAGTGTTGGTCTCAATCCAGCGCTTCAACCGACGATTTTCGCTTGGCCTGATCAAACTATTTCTTTGCGGTTTTCTGCGAGGATTTTTATAATGAAGCTCGGTATGCGATTTCCAGTGCCTGTCGAAATCTTTGCAAGTTTCTATCGGAGCACGATAGTCGATTCTACTTCACGTCTCTTTTATAGTCCTGCCGCAGGGTTCCATCCTATTTCTGCCAAGGAGCTGCTGAGGTCACAGATTGAATTCCGCTCTGCGTCGCTGGCCCACAAACTCTCTCGGCAAGATCATGAACGAGGGCCTGCCCAATGCATCCCATCTTTCAGTAACTAGTCTTTCAGTCTCTTCAGTGCCCCTACTGCATCTTTTCCCCAAATGAAAGTGCGTGGCTTCAGACACAACACTTTCTTCCATTTTTGCTTTTCCACTCGAATCCATCTAGTGAAATTACATCGTTGAAGTCTTTCGGCTCCTTCAACTGAGCCCTCATGATTGGCGTAGATGTTCACTTGCCACATCAGTAAATTCCTGCGAGAATCTTTGTTGTCGAAGATGGCTTTCTCGCTTGCAGTGGAATGATGCGCGGTTCGAAAAGAACCTTTTGGTTTGGCCCTACTGCTTCCGAAAAACCGGCTTCGATCAGCTCAAACCCCTGTGATTGGGCTTAGTCTTAAACGGCATATTCTCTTCTGGCTTTTCGACAAATTGCACCCCAACCTCTGCATCTGCGCCAATCTTCTTCAATCAACCCCTGCTCTGTGAAGTCGGTCTCAAAATGTTCTTGTGTTGCTGAAGCCACGTGTGCTTGAGGCTCCTTGAGCTTCTGTGGTCACGCAACCTGCTTTCCAATGACCCAACTCGGCGCAACGCTTGCAATGAATCCTGACAAACCGATTCAGCAGTTCGTCTTCCTCCGAACCCCTTTCCATATTTTCCACTCCAGGGAGTTCTCAGCGGCCAGAACCCCTGTTCCTCTTTCACTCGATGATCGGGTTTCGAGCTTGCTGGTAGAAGAGCTGGACTTCGTGAAAGAGCTCTGTCAACTCATTCTCAAAGCCTTGTACTCTCAATGCATCTGCGTAGATTTCGCCAACTGCTCCAGCTGTTCAGATGAAAGGTCATCCTCTTCAGACTGAGCTGCAAAAAAACTGGTCCATGTAAGATTGGTCTGATTGCTCTGTCTCTGATGGCTCTTACAAAATTCGGGGGTTACACCTTCTTGCGTTCCCCCATCTGGCCTGCCAGCACGCTCGTTGACAAGTTTGTAGCATTGGATACGGCTGACTTCCCGAAGGCTCCATTTGTCATGGTGAAAACCTTCTTGTCCTCCTGACTGCTTGAGGAGCAGGAAGGCAATCACCGACTTCAATGTCGTGTCTGGTCCAACCTCTTCAAAGGCGACGTCCAACCTGTTCACAAACGATTGTGTACTCTCATCGTTCTTCTGCGTTGTCCGGTATATCGCCTTGTCGAACAACGTTCGGAAAGCGTTCGACTCCTAAGTCTGGATTGGTCAACTGGTCAGGCTGGATGCTTCTGACCTCTTGGCCCTTGGCAGTCCCTTTGCACAACATCGCAAGCCGTCGGCCGATCTCCCTTGCGACTACCATCTAGGAATCTCACCTTCGCTATATACTTTGATGTGGAAGAAGAGTCCAAATCGCATCCTTGTCTAGCCTCCGAACCCATGGCTTTATGGCTCCGAGCCAATAGGCTCCGCTACCAATGTGGTTGGATCGGGGCGCCTACCCAAAACCTAAACCAAGGTCGGTCCACCACCCTCTGCCTGTGTTCTGTTTGCCCATGCGCCAAAGCATTGTTTCGCTTTGGAGTCATGCCCTCACTCGAAGGTCCGGAGGTGTCGATGACAGGTCTGCGCGTTGTGTTTCCAAGTTTTTAAGATAATGCTGAAACACCTTGCCACGTTTGAATCGATGTGTTCACAAGGCATGTCATTTCCCAATGAGTTGGGCCGTGGAATCTCTAATCAGAACACGCTCTTTGACAAGAAAAGATTCTTGGGCCTTGGAGTCGCTCACTTTCATCAAGTGTAAAGAGTTGAGTGTCCTGTTCTTGGGGCCCGGCCGTGATGGCGATGAGCAATGAGCCAACCAGCTCCAGCAGTGTCACCGCCGCCCAACGATGCGCGCCTCTTGACTCAAAGCACTCCCTCTCAAGCAAAGATAGAAAAATGTCTGAAGGCCCAAAGAAAAAGAACAAAGAGGTAAGAGAAGTAAAATAATACAGCAAAGAAAGAAAGATGAAAAAACAATGAGCCCGATGCAAAACAGAGAGAGAGAGAGAGCGCCTGAGCGACGACTGAGACGCCTGACATTACACTTGTTAAGAGTCTATGAGCTGTGTCCAGTTACTGGTAGCTTGAGTAGCTAGGAGCTTACTTTGGGGGTGGCATAAGCCTCTTTGTCTGTGAGATGGTGAAGCTACATATAAGGTCCCTAGAGCAATTTCTAACATGGGACCCATCCAAGCCGGATAGAGTGATCGAAGCCCGCATTGACTTGGAAAGAAGATCGCAATTAATTCTCCATCCCACAGGGAGGATTAGGGGTTTCCAGGGTCCTGAAGTAGGTATGGTCTCGAGTCTCGGCCAAAGCCCAATGGTAACCCTCTCAAGCTATTTCCAAAATCCCCCGGAGCTAGGCCTAGGATTTAAAGCTGGTCCATCTAGGAGCCCTTAGTAGAGTAGCATCCTTGCTCCTGGTAGTGAGGCCAAGAGCCCCTAGTAGCGTCCTTGCTCTTAGTACTAAGGCCAGGAGCCCCTAGTAGCATAGAGCAGGAGCCCCTAGTAGTGTAGTAGTAAGGCCAGGAGCCCCTAGTAGCATAGAGCAGGAGCCCCTAGTAGTGTAGTAGTAAGGCCAGGAGCCCCTAGTAGCGTCCTTGCTCCAACTATTAAGGCCAGGAGCCCCTAGTAGCGTCCTTGCTCCTAATAGTAAGGCCAGGAGCCCCTAGTAGCGTCGTAGTAAGGCCAGGGGCCCCTAGTAGCGTCCTTGCTCCTAGTAGAGTAGCGTAGTAGACCGTTTTCACATCTGCGGCCCTGGCCTTCACTTGGTCTGACCAGGTTCATGAGGGCCAGCGCGGAGGCGCGGGAGGGATGGATCTGCGGTGAAGGAAAACGGAGAAGACTTGAAGAAACCATTAAAATATACTGAAGAATGATTGTTTCCAATCATTGCCTCCAACCTGATAGCGATGGCCTCTAACCACCAAAAAACATGTTCCTGTTTTCTCCTTATCTTTCTTACTCCAATCCTTCTTTGTCCTTTAGACGTTTTCTTTTTCCTCTCTTTCTCTGGTCGTTGCGATCTGTGACCAATCTCTAACCTGCGCAAGCATTACAGATTCTACATATCTTCGAGACTTCGTCCTAGTAGCGTCCTTGCTCCTAGTAGCGATGCCAGGAGCCCCTAGTAGTTCTTGCTCCTAGTAGTAAGGGGATGTTTTTCAAGGAGATTGGCAAGGAGATCGGAGATTGCCAGTTGTGGTGGCCAACTTTAGAGCCTTCGTGAAAAGTGGACCAACGTAGCCAAGCTGCCCACTCTTAGACTTGTGCATGGTGGAGCTATGGACTTGTAAGACTTGTGCTTGTTGATGCCTGCAACGGGTAGGAGAAGACTGCCAACATAGAGTAGAGGAGCGATGTGAATGCCACCACCGCGTTCTGAGGGTAGTCCTCGCCAAATTTGGTACGCGTTTCTTTTCTGTTCCTTATAGGCATTGTATGTCCTAGTAGCCTCCTAGTAGTAAGGCCAAAAAGCCCCTAGTAGCGTCCTTTAGTATGGCCAGGAGCCCCTAGTAGCGTCCTCTTGTTCCTCTCTTTCAGTCCTTGAGCACATCCGATTTCAACTGAGGCCCAAAGGTCAGGTATCCAAAGATCGCCGCAGAGCTCAAAGCCACAAAGCTGATACAGTACTCAGCGCTCGAGTCGAGTAGCGTCCTTTGCTCATAGGAAATGCCCTTTGTTAATTCTGATTCAATTTAATTTAGTTCTAATTTGTTACTACTAGTAAGGCACTTGTTACTAGTAGCTTCTTGTTACTAGTCGCGATGCCCTTCAACCTACTTGCGATGGCCTCCACCTAATAGCGTCCTTGCTACTAGGAGCCTCTTTGAGAGTCTCGTGAAAACGGAAGGAAACAAGTTGAAAGGAAGGACAAAAAGAAAGGAAAACATGTTTTGCAAAGGTTGTGTTCCCTAGATTTCTAGAAACCAAATCGATGGGTTCTTCAAGAAAGCTTGACCATGCTTGACCCGCCCTTGTGTTTGCCAAGCCTAGTAATTTCTTACTCGCTCCTTGCCTTACTACAAGCTACAAGTTGCTGGCCTCTTACTACTAGATCCACTAGCTGCATCTAGCTCTCTGCTCTCTGCTCATTTTGGCATCGCTACTAGCAACAAGGGCATTACTAGTAGCTTCTTGTTCCTAGTAGCAAAGCCGGGAGCCCCTAGTAGCGTCCTTGCTCCTAGAAGCGATGCCAGAAGCCCCTAGTAGCGTCCTTGCTCCTAGTAGCGATGCCAGAAGCCCCTAGTAGCGTCCTTGCTCCTAGTAGCGCCAGGAGCCCCTAGTAGCGTCCTTGCTCCTAGAAGCGATGCCAGGAGCCCCTAGTAGCGTCCTTGCTCCTAGTAGCGCCAGGAGCCCCTAGTAGCGTCCTTGCTCCTAGTAGCGCCAGGAGCCCCTAGTAGCGTCCTTGCTCCTAGTAGCGCCAGGAGGCCCTAGTAGCGTCCTTGCTCCTAGTACTAAAACCAGGAGCCCCTAGTAGCGTCCTTGCTCCTAGTAGCGCCAGGAGCCCCTAGTAGCTTCTTGTAACAAGAACGAAATTCGCCAAATTGGGCCGTCCGACTGCCCCAGTGATGATGCCATTCATGCGCTGGGGGGTGGTGTTGCGCACCTGAGGTGTTACTTTCTCAACACGAGGAGAAAACAAAGGTGTGAAGGCATGTCTGTGCACCTAATTCGCAAACTAGCCTCTGCGGTTGCTGTTCAATTCATGTCGTGCCACCAATCACGAATCCCAACCTGAGTCAAACCCCTGGGATGCTACTAGTAACAAGTGCCACGCTAGTAGTAACAAGTGCCTTACTAGTAGTAACAAGAAGCTACTAGTAACAAGTGCATCGCTTCTAGTAACAAGTGCCTTACTACTAGGAACAAGAAAGCTATTGAAGGGTTCATTCTTCGTTTGCTGGATTCATGGATGGATGCCAATGGAACATGAATGACCTGCCCGAAATGCGCTGGACTTCCACTTTCACAACATCACCCTGGCCTCATTGCAAACAGAAAAAATGTTCTGTTGGCAGGTGAAGCCAAATATGAAGACTGGTAAAGCCTGCCAATGCAACAGCTTGCTGAAATGGTTTTAGACTGTGTCTCAAGCAAAGCATGCAAATGGCAAATGATTCTCAGACCATTCCCTTCCAAAGGCATGCTTCTGCATGTGTTGACCAACTAGGATAGCTAAATGTTACAATCGTTCATTGGCACACTGGTTTCCATTTGGAACTCATTTTCGTCCACTCTGCTTTCGGCTTCCACATCAGCCTCTCGCTGTGGCAGGCAGTGTCGACAGTGTCAAGAAACCGAGACTCCCTTGATGCCCCCCTGCAAATCGAAGCATCTTCCTTTGTTTGGGGCTCTTCCTAGTAACAAGAAGCTTCTAGGAACAAGTGCCTTACTAGTAGTAACAAATTAGCATTAAATTAAATTAGAATTAAACTAAATTTTCAAACACATGTTTGGGGCTATCACAACCGCTGTTTTCTTGGGAGCTTCTCTCCATTGGATTCTCTCCCTCGGGCTATATCTCCATTGACCGTCGTCATGATCCACTTTCTTTCCCACCCAAGCTCCTCGTGTCTTTGATTCCATGTACTCTAGTCGCACAGTCCCCGTCCATCTTCATTGAAACACCACGAATGAAGGTCAAAACATAGCGAGGTCAATTCCCAAAGCACTGAAGGAGACCATTGTTTCTAGACATGATTGGTCCTAGTAGCGATGCCCTTTGTTACTAGTAGAGATAGAAAACATGTTGACAAAGTGGGCCATGCAGCCTTTTGCAGAAAGCATCAGAGAGCAAGCAGTTCGTGTAATTAGCAATGAGACTTATTGGCTTCGATCTATTCTCGATAAAGCATGTTGCAAGCGACGGAAGTCGCTTGGGCAAAGCGATGGAGTTGAGTTTGATTCACCTTATTTTAGACTCGCTCTTCCAATGCTTTTTTCCCATCCTTACACTTTCAATTGTAACAACAAGGATTAACTGATCAATGTCTCAAAGCCTTCTAATCATGTTTTAACATAGTCAGCAGTTCAACCAAGCAATTTTTTCACATAGTCACATAGTCATTTGGTGCCTTTGCCACTCACCAATCACTTGTAATCACCTGTCACCTGAGTCACAACCTTCCACGGTTTTTTGTAGATCTTGGCCTTGCTAGCGGCTAAAGCTTACACATTCACCATGTTCTTGATAACTCATGCTGACTGCACATAAAGTTTGACTGAATATGAACACGAAGACCTGATTAGGCAGTCAATGGTAGTCAGCATAGGCAACAGGTCTCAACATGTACCAGTGACAAGGAGAGCCTATGCCCGGGCCTGAATGACTTAAATGCATGAGCAAGTCTGGGCCGAGAAGGGTCTTTTATCAAGGATCACGGAAGTCGGGATGGTCGGTAAAGGCAACAGTCTCACAAAAATACACGTATCATCTTTGCTACTTATCAAACGGTTCGTCTTCAATCGTGTCTGCAAGCTTGTACTGCGGCTACAGGCTCGCAGTCTGGAAAGGCTCAAAGCCAAGCCGGATGCCTTCTAGGCCAGTATATAGGTTCGAGGACATCGCTCTAGAAAGAAATGGTCCCCAGAAAGTAACTAAAAGCACGTTGTGCATGCACAATATTATATTATATACAAAGCCCGCTTGTTTTGTTCCAGTCCCCTCATATCTGGGGAACGAAAGATGACCCCGCACACCAAGGTGCACAGGGCCTCCATCAGGCGCGTGAAGAGCGGGGCTTCAAATGACCACCGCGCTTCCTGAGCAGGGCTTTTACAAAAACAAAACAGAAAGAAACAGATTTTGGATTACGCCAGCATAGACCCCAGATAGCATTGGAATCATTGCATTCAAGCTGTCGCGGCTTCCTCGCTCGCGTTTCATAGCAAGCGCACACAGCAGCGGCACAAGCACCCAAGCTCCCAAGTGCACAGCAGCGGCAACCAGCACCCAAGCGCACACATGCAGCTCTCCCGGCTCTCCCTATACTTGAAGTAAGAACCCCAATAGCTCTCGCTATCTGGGGAAAAAAAGGGAAAGGAGGTAAAAGAAAAGGAAAGGGTTCTTTCATCAACTGTTGCCACCGTGAGAACATCCAATCGAGAAGCAGCCCTTCCAAACGCGAGGACGAGAACAGCAAGAGGATGGTAAGATGGTAATATATAGATTAATATACATCAGTTCTGTAATAGTTTTGTGACATGTACCCATAGGCAAATCGATGAACGGGACACGTCAGCACCCATGTACCGAGGGTGCTCAACTGGGCCCCAAGGCTGTTCAGCGCGCAAAGCGTCTTTGGCTAAACGCCGAATCCTGGAGACTGGGGAGCAGTCGAAGCCAGATCTCGAACAAAGGCTTTAGGAAGCACTGAGACCATAAAAAAGAGATGAAAAAATCAACATTGACTCGAGCATCTATGACCAGGTCCCCTATCAAAAAATGCCCAAACACCAATCACCTTCCTTTTGTCCTTTCTGTTTTCTTTCTTGAAGCCACATCTAATGTGTTAATATGCTTAGATACGTTCAAGGCAAGCCTTTTACAGTGCATCTTTCTGGTTCGCTAGCTTCTTGTTACTACTAGCGATGCACTTGTTACTACTAGCGTGGCACTTGTTACTAGTAGCGTGGCACCTGTTACTACTAGCGTGGCAGTTACTAGCAAGACGGTGACGTCCGAAGAGGTGCGCCTGGGTAGCATCGTGCCGCGCAAATTCACCAGCTGCTCTTCCAACTCCTCTGCTGTGGCAACGCCTGGGAGCGCGAGGCCAACATAAAGAACAACAATATGCGTACTAGGGCGGAAGCCATCGCTATTCGCTTGGAGGCCATTGCTATGGCTATTAGGGCGGAAGCCATCGCTATTAGCTTGGAGGCCATTGCTATGGCTATTAGGGCGGAAGCCATCGCTGTTAGCTTGGAGGCCATTGCTATGGCTATTAGGGCGGAAGCCATCGCTATTAGCTTGGCGGCCATTGCTATGGCTATTAGGGCGGAAGCCATCGCTATTAGCTTGGAGGCCATTGCTATGGCTATTAGGGCGGAAGCCATCGCTATTAGCTTGGAGGCCATTGCTATGGCTATTAGGGCGGAAGCCATGGCTATTAGCTTGGAGGCCATTGCTATGGCTATTAGGGCGGAAGCCATCGCTATCAGCTTGGAGGCCATTGCTATGGCTATTAGGGCGGAAGCCCTCGCTATTGGGTTGGAGGCCATTGCTATGGCTATAGGGCGGAAGCCATCGTTATTAGGTTGGAGGCCATTGCTATGGCTATTAGGGCGGAGGCCATCGCTACATTGCTTAGCTATTAGGGCGGAGGCCTCGCTATTAGCTTGGAGGCCATTGCTATGGCTATTAGGGCGGAAGCCATCGCTATTAGCTTGGAGGCCATTGCTATGGCTATTAGGGCGGAGGCCATCGCTACATTGCTTAGCTATTAGGACGGAGGCCTCGCTATTAGGTTGGAGGCCATTGCTATGGCTATTAGGGCGGAAGCCATCGCTAATAGCTTGGAGGCCATTGCTATGGCTATTGAGGCGGAGGCCATCGCTATTAGCTTGGAGGCCATTGCTATGGCTATTAGGGCGGAGGCCATCGCTACATTGCTTAGCTATTAGGGCGGAGGCCTCGCTATTAGCTTGGAGGCCATTGCTATGGCTATTAGGGCGGAGGCCATCGCTACAACATTGCTTAGCTATTAGGGCGGAGGCCTCGCTATTAGGTTGGAGGGCATTGCTACGGCTATTGAGGCGGAGGCCATCGCCATTAGCTTGGAGGCCATTGCTATGGCTATTAGGGCGGAGGCCATCGCTACATTGCTTAGCTATTAGGGCGGAGGCCTCGCTATTAGGTTGGAGGCCATTGCTATAGCTATTAGGGCGGAAGCCATCGCTATTAGCTTGGAGGCCATTGCTATGGCTATTGAGGCGGAGGCCATCGCTATTAGCTTGGAGGCCATTGCTATGGCTATTAGGGCGGA